TTGTTATACAAAATCACTTTTTTAAAATTGGTGCGGTTAAAAAGATAAAATTGATTGATGTTGAGATTCGGGTTATATATATATATATATATATATATGAAACTATGAACATTTCGGTAGCCCGCGGGAACCAAATCAGACGGAAGAATAAAGAGGTTTATATTGCCCCGAGCGTATTCTAAATTTCTCAGCTGTTCATAGTCAACGACTCCTGGGGCTTTTGGAGATTGTTCTGGGATGATTGTTCAGAGTATATGGCATAACCAGACGCACGCATTCTCTTCTAAAGTCGAGTCAAGGGGCTGTTAGTTATATGCGGATGTTTCAAACCTTAACTTTTCACAATAATAATAATAATAATAATAATAATAGTAATAGTGAAAATAAAAAAAAAATTAATATAGTTATATTATATATTATTTATATATATACATATATTAATTAATAATAAATATATATTCAGCCTCAAGGTAAAAATAGTTTTAAAAAAGCCTTCGTATCAAATTAACAATAATTTCTTTCGTCCGCTTCTTTAAAATTTTAACAAAAATTGATGATGAGAAAAAAAAGGCAAAAAAATCTTAATAAGATAATTTGTCCACTTATTTTATTATCGCGACAATCATAAAATTAAAAAAAAAACAGTACGTGTTTCCTTCTGAAAATCGTCTTTTTTAATAAAAAAATCGTTCAAACATTAAGTAGAATTAATTAAAAAAAAAAAGGAAAAAATGAATTTACAAGAAATTTTTTTTTTTTTTTTTAATACAATAGAATATTATTTTGACAATTATATTTATTTTTGTTGGCTTAAAGTAGAAAAATTTTTTCCTTTTTTTTATAAATAAATTTTAAATAAAAATGTCACGTTCTATTACTGTCACGAATTTTTTTTTCCTCATATTATATGCTATTTATAGCTTTAAAAAAAAAAAAAATTTTTGTTTCCTTCTGCATTCAAATAAATACGTGGGGCTTTTTTTAAAAAATTTTAGAATCATTAAGGAAATAAAAAAAAATTTTATATAAAAATATATTAATATTATATAATAATAAATTATTTATCGTTATTATTATTATTGTTATTACAGCGAAACCCACGTATATCGGATCTGCATAATTTTGATTCCCGCTTACATCGGAATTTATTCCAATTCCTTGGAAATTCCTTATACGTGGATTTCACTGTATTATTATTATTATTATTATTAATTATGTCCTATTGTGGACATAGCCTAAAATTTTCTATTTTTATAATTTTGGTGAAAACAAAATTATTATTCATATTATTCATCATTAATATAAAACAAACCTTTTTTCAAAAACCGCTTCACTTTACTTTTGTATCCTCTTTCGCATCCACAGTCACCTGAAACAAAAAAAAATAATAATTGTTGAAACTAGATAGGTTATTTGGAAGTGTATATATATATATACCGGAAAGTGGCAGATACAAGAAGTCAGAAAGATTGAACAGTGGAAGAAAGGAACGGAGTGGGAGGAAAGAGGGAAAGAGAGAGAGAGAATGACTGTGAGTGGGGGAAGGGGAAATTGTGGGAGATGGGAGGGGGCCGGGTGGAAAGACTGAGACGATAAACTGGTCTAGGAAGAAGGTAAACAAGGTGGTATCGTATCATCTGAGAATCGTGCCTTCAACCTGGAAGCTTCAATGGCTTTCAGGATATACCACACGTAACACGTGCCTTGGTGCAATGGCTTGTTTTCTTTTCACTCGCACGCTGCAACTTCGAAGGCTGTCTTCTCTACTTACCCTGTCCCTCCTTCTCTTCCCCACGCTTATACCTCTCGCAATATTATAACGTTTGCCCACATCAAACCTTGACAATAATTACACATCATTCAATACAAACAAATAAAAGATTTGCTTCAAAATTTTTTTTTAATAATTGTTAAAAAAAAATTCATTTAATACAAAAAATTGCTTAAAATTTTTTTGTTAATAATTGTTAAAAAAAAATTATTATTATAATAAATATTAACAAAATTTTTAATTTACTTATTTGAAAGTAATTTTTTTTTTTTTTGATCATAATTAATAAAAAATAATAGTCGACGTTGACAATTTCAAAAGCAGAACAGATTATAATAGTTATTATTATATGGTGCAATGTTATAGTGATAATACACTCTCTTCCTCTCTTGTTTTCCAAAATACGATAAACGACTAAACTGTGGCATTATCATAAAATAATTAATATTCACAGCTAACAGAGTTAAATATTATCTGTGAGTTTAAAATTTATTTTTTATTATTATTTTACAATTTATTACACATTTTTTTGTTTTTTTTTTGTTTTTGAAATTCAAAAAATCCCGCGTATTTTTTATTAATGTTAGCAATCTACTTTATCGATATTGAATAGTAAAATTAACCTCTTATTGAAAAAAAGTACTTTATACTTTTTTTTTGTAGAACACTATCTAGGGATAAATCTACTGTAATATAGTGTTACCGTTATGCAACCGTTACATTACTATTAAGTTATGTTAGCGTTACGTTACTGTTACATTACCATTTAGTTATTTTAACGTTTTGTTACCGATAACATATTATTACCGTAATTTTTCCATTGCATTAAGTTACGTTACTGTTACATTACCATTGCATTACGTTATAGTCACTTTACCGTTAATTTACCGTTACAGTTACATTATACCATTGACTTACGTTATCGTTACTTAACCGTTTCGTTACCACTAAGTAACTATTATCGTTACGTTACTACTATTGTTACGGTACTGTTACCGTTACTTCACCGTTTCGTTACCATTAAGTAACGTTAATGTTATCGTTACATTACTGTTACTGTTACCGTTACCGTTACCGTTACCGTTACCGTTACCGTTACCGTTACATAAATCCACTAATTTCTATGACATTCGATAAATTTTTTGAAAAAATATCCAAAAATAAAAAAACAAATAGAAAAGTGAGTATAGAAAAATGAAAGTTTAAGCGATGGAATGGTGGATTGGGTGAGAGAAGAGGGATGATGGGGGGAGGGGGACGAATACTGTTCGGTGGGGTTTTTCCAGAGTAAAATAGCAGCAAACAGAGAAACTAAAGAGTACATATATATATATATATATATATATAGTGAGTATGAAGGGGGAAGAAAAAGGGGGATGAAGTATAAATACACTTATGCAGCATAAACTGCACGACTGTTTTAGAGGGGGTAGGTGGAAGTAGGGGGGGGGGAAAGGGATTCGGGGGACTCGACTCGTGGGGAAAGTAATAATATGAAAATCCGACTGCAATATTCGTCCTACAAAGTGCTCTTGAGAAAGAAAAACAACTCGTAAATAACTGCGCTCACCAAATAGTAACGAAAACGAATATCCACCTGTTATTTACATATATATGTATATATGGTCACAAGTTTCAATATTTTCTTAAATTTTTTTTGTTTTCAACTTTTTCAATAATTTTTTGAATATATATAAATTTTTTTATGATTACAATTTTTTTTTCACATGTTTTGTGAATTTTATTATTCATTTTGTTATTATTATTATTATTATTATTATTAATATTATTTAATTGGTTTTTTTTAATTTATTTATTATTTATACTTTTTTATTTTTATTTAAATTTTTGTTTTATATTTATTTTTTTGAAAAATGTTTTTTCAATAAATTTTCATTACTTAATTGTAAAAAAAAAAAAAAAAAATGCAAAACTCTATAATTTATTTGGACAAAAAAAATGATGGGAGGTTAGTGGGGAGAAAGAAAAGTAGGAAAATAACTTTTGCTGCTTCTCTACTGACTGTATATATATATATAATATATATATGAAATCTTTTTCATTCTCATGGGAAGTGACCTAACATTTTTCACGTTGGAAATATTGAAATATTCCAAAGCTTGTATAGTATGTAAAAAATAAATTTAAATAATTAAAAAAAAAGAATAAAATATGAAAAATTTTAATTATTTTTAGTTTTATTTATTTATTCAAGTTTTTGGAACTTTCTTTTTAATTCATTTTAATTAATTTATTTTGTTTTTTTAATATTAATTAATTTAAAAATATTCATTTTATTTTCAATTAATAGAAAAAATTTATTTATTTTAATTTTTTTTTTTTTTTAGTTTTATCTTTTAAGTCATTTTAGTAAAATTATTTTTCAAAACATAACGAGACTAACTTTTTTTTTCACCACACAGGTCGAGGATCCAAAGTCATTCATGGAATTTAATTATATTCAAACAATTTCCTCTCACTCTCTCTCTCTCTCTCTTTCTCTCTCTTGTCGTCTTTGTCGTCTTTCGAGAATACAGTTTTATATATAACTGACAATGATAACATTTTTGTTCTTTCATTTCAACTTTTGTTTTTTTAAACATTTTTTTTTTTATTATTTCAATTTTAATTCTCTTTCTCTGATTTAAAATTATGATAAAATGATTAAAAACTTTTTTAATTTTCCTGGATTTTTTCATTATATAGGATAAATATAAAATAAATCTGAGTTTTTTTTTTAAATTTTAAAATTAATAAGTTTTTTTTTTGCTAAAAAACATTTATTTCCAATTTTTTCATGATATATTTTGCAAATAATAATTTTCAAATAGTTATGCACACACACACACACACACACACACATACACATTGTCATTTGTGGAATTTAATAGCTTTCACACATAGTGACAAAGAATTTTATATATGTTCAAGAAACTCCCTATGAGATAGTGTCTGAAAAATATGTCGGAATAATGTCAATAATTTATACCGCAGGGATTCACTGGCACCTTCCATAAATTATATGGAAAATTGTACATTATCAATTTTTGTCAGAAAAAAAGAGAGAAAAAAGAATTCTCGACTACCTATGAAAATATTTTAATTTGATGTTAAAAATTTACAAAAAATTTTTTTTTCTATATAGTAATTTTTTGAATTAATAAAAATTATTTTAATTAGTTATAATAGAAAAATAAAAAAAATTGTGTTACCGTTACTGTTACCCTTGTTACGTTACTGTTACCGTTACTGTTACCGTTACTGTTACCATTACTGTTACCGTTACTGTTACCGTTACTGTTACCGTTACTGTTACCGTTACTGTTACCGTTACTGTTACTGTTAATGTTACCGTTACTGTTACCGTTACTGTTACCGTTACTGTTACCGTTACTGTTACCGTTACTGTTACCGTTACTGTTACCGTTACTGTTACCGTTACTGTTACCGTTACTGTTACCGTTACTGTTACCGTTACTGTTACCGTTACTGTTACCGTTACTGTTACCGTTACTGTTACCGTTACTGTTACCGTTACTGTTACCGTTACTGTTACCGTTACTGTTACCGTTACTGTTACCGTTACTGTTACCGTTACTGTTACCGTTACTGTTACCGTTACTGTTACCGTTACTGTTACCGTTACTGTTACCGTTACTGTTACCGTTACTGTTACCGTTACTGTTACCGTTACCGTTACTGTTACCGTTACTGTTACCGTTACTGTTACCGTTACTGTTACCGTTACTGTTACCGTTACTGTTACCGTTACTGTTACCGTTACTGTTACCATTACAGTTACCATTACAGTTACCGTTTCTGTTACCTTTACTGTTCCGTTACTGTTACATTACTGTTACTTTACTGTTACTATAGTGTTACGTTACCGTTACTATACTGTTACTGTTACGCTTACTATTACGTTACGTTACTGTTACCCTTACAATGTCGATACGTTAACGTTACCCTTGTGACGTTATTGTTATTTTACCGTTACTATAGTGTTACGTTACTGCTCCGTTACTGTTACGTTTACTATTACGTTACCTTACTATTACCTTTATTGTTACGTTACCGTTATTTTACCGTTTCTATTACGTTACTGCTACCGTTACTTTTTTTCAAAAATTTTTTTTAATATAAAAACCAAAAGTAATCTAGAAATGTATCAGGTTCCCTCTCTCCTGTACCAACTCTTTATTCGCGAGAAACGTACATAGAAATGAATTACACATATATAAATTATTATTGACATTCGATAAAGTTCAATTTGAAAAGAAAAAAATCTCTGATATACTCCTTTACCATTAACGTCCAAATATATATATATATATATATATATATATATATATACATATAACTGCAAATATATTTACACGTATTTTTGATATAGGTACCTGAATAGATTTTTAATCTAGCAAATGTACTGAAGTTAGGTTGGTGGGGGGGGGGGGGGGGTGGCGTCAAAGAAGAAGGTGGGATGAGGGCAGATTCATTCATTCTAAATGCGTCTTCGTCTGGAATGATATTGCTATTTACAGAAGCTTAGTAACATATTCGAGCAAAAAAAAGACGATTTTCTTATAAAAAAATATTTCTTAGATTTTTTCAATTTTATAAATTGATTAAAAAAGAAAAAGAGTCACGAAATCTAATCAACTAAAAAAAAATTTTCTCCTTTTTTTGTTACAGAAAAAGAATCCAAATGGGAAATTTTTCACACACTAATACACCCACACACACACTGAGAGAAGAAATTTGTGATCGATAACGAGACTTTTGTGGATCTCAGTGGTGGTGGTGGTGGATATAGGTAACTTCCGCTTGGGGCTGCTTTTCACCGCTACTAATTGACAGGAAGAGAAAGGAATAAAGAGGCTTGCGGGAAAATTTACGAGGCACCACACCTAAAACAGAGAAAGGAAAGAAAGAAAAAGAATTAGTCTCGTTAAGTGAACTTTCAGAGGCAAAAAAAAAAAATTCTTTTTTTGAATTTTCCCGCCATCTGGAATTTTACCGCTAGAGGGATGCAATGTATTATTCTCTCACAAGCGATGATTAAATAACAAACAAAAAATAAACGTATGGACACAAAAAAATAGTCAAATAAACCACCACCCCACTTCTTCAACCCTCAAATTACAAATGGGTTAAACATTTGACAGGGGGCACCATGGACGACGCCATTCAATGTCTAAGGCAAAATGGCAGTCGCGTCCTCTACCAGCAACAAGTGGCAATGAGGACTTTAAGGCTGCGATCTCTTAAGTGTGCCATAAAACGAGAAAAGCGATTCAAGTTTCTCTTCTAGGGTTATAAAAAAACGTCTCATTTCTCTCTTTTTGAAAAAGGACACGCCCTGATTAAAGGAAGAAAAAAGAATTAAGTGATCAGAGGAGAAAGATTCTTCAAAAAAAAAAAAAAGAATTTTTAAAGAGATTAATAGAAAGAAAGAAATTCAAATATTTATTGATTTTGTAATAATTGTAGGGTGAAAGAAGAAGAAAAAACAAAACAAAAAAAAAGGGTCGTGTCAACTAAGATTTCGAAGGTGTTAGTGATGAAGATCCCGGCAGGAGAAATTGGTATTCCACTGTTTGGCGTTGTTGGGCCACGATTTATCGTCAAACAAACGACAGTCAAACGTTGTGTCGCTGCACTTTTACTAATATCTGTTGCCAGCATCTTTTACTATACTCACTACATCATAAGCAGTCCATTCTCAAGGTGAGTAAATTTTTTTTTAATTGAAAATTATTCTCAGTCTTTATTTTTCATTATACTACGTTTTTACAGCCTTTTTTTACTTTACTTTACTTTACTCCGCCCATTCTTCTGACCACTCCCCTATTTTCCTTATTGCTCCGCCCACTGACACTCCCCTATCACCAACTTTCCGCCTTTTCCCCGTCCCTTATTGATTTACCACTCCCATGTTGCTCCGCCTACTGTTCTTTCTAAATTATTGTCTTCGCCACGCCCCCTTTTTTAACTTTGCCACTCCCATATTTATCTTTTTGCTCCGCCCACTGCCACTCCCTAGTTTTCCACCATTTGGTCTTTGCTCCACCCCTATTTCTCCTATTGCCCTACTTCTTTTATATTACCACTCCCACATTTTTTCATTTTGCTCCGCCCACGTTTACTTTCCGATTCCAACCTTTTAGTTTGCTCCACCCCTATTACCTCAATTGCTCCGCACTTTGTCCCGCCTCTTCTGCTACCACGCCCACATTTCTCATTTTGCTCCGCCCACTTTCACTCTCAGATTCCCGCCTCTTTTTTTTGCCACACCCACATTTTTTCTTTTTCTCCTCCCACTTTAGTTCAAGATTTCCACTTTTTGATTATTGCTCCGCCTCTATTTCTACTATTGTCCCGCCCTTTGCTCCGCCTCTTCTTTTTGTCACTCCTATATTTTTCTTTTGCTCCACTCACTGTTTATTTTTCTTTTGCCACTCGCCAATTAATGAAAAAAAAATAATAAAAATTATTCTACAATAAAATGGATATTGGTAAAAATAATAAACACCGAATTCTAAAGATTTAAACGTTATTCACATATGTGTGGGTATACAAAATTTGTCACACTCTCTTACAAATACACACACACACACATATACACAAACAAAATCAGTGGTTAACCAGGATTAAGCTCTCTTGTCTCATAACTTTCACTTACGTTGTATTAGCTAACATGAGGAGCTTAATTTCTAAACTTCTAATTAACAGGAAACACATGAATCTTAGAGTGGGAGATCTAAAATAATAATAATTTCCCCACGGAAATAACTTGATTTCCTGTCACAAGTTCGAGTTTCTGGAACGCTTCTTCTTCTTCTTCTTCTTATGAAACTTTTGCTTATTATTATTATTATTATTATTATTAATATACAAGTTAAATTTAATATTTCAATTTTGATTAAAACTTGAAGATTGGTATTTTTTTAGAAAAAAATTTTTTTTTCCAAACAGAAATTGGAAATACGAGATTTGTCGTTTGTATTTGATGATAAATTTGTGGGATGAAGAGTATATCTCGATGTTGGTCCATTCGAGATTTACATTGCGGTATTGAAGTTTTAGGAGAGAACGAGGGAGAGAGAGAGAGAAAGAGGGGGCGAGGGATTGATTATAGGAAACATCGGAACGCTGGCTGATTATCTGGCGACTGAGATTGGTTCATATCGGTAGGAGATGAAGTGCCATGGCAGTTGGAGGTTATACATCTTCTCTAATTAACTACGGATTCGCTCTTGTCCTCTTCGACCCCTTTTACTCTCTCTCTCCCTCTCTCTGTCACGACTATCCCCTTTTGGCTTTGAACATACGAGGCCAATGCAAACATATATATATATATATATGTGTGTGTGTATACACTCATTCAAGAACAATTGTGCAAACCTCCGAGATCGTTTGAGAATTGAAATTGGACGGGATATACATTAAGGAAATATATGTCCCGTCATACATTTTGATTTAAATTGGGTCGCGAACACCACACTGTCTCATATAAGGAAATGCCCATTCCTTCCTTCTCCTTCTCACCCTTTCCCTGTCTCTTATACTCCTTATCCTTATATATATATATATATATATATATATATATATACGAGGAGATCCAAGTCCAACATGCAAACCCCATTTCCAGTTATTCTCAAAATTCAACCCCTTAAGGCACCTTGGCTATTTGCTAATATCCACAAACTATTCGTCGTCCGTCCAAACGATCCGGGGAATTCGAAACCCATCGGTCTTCAAAGATACCGTAAATGCCTATCCGTCGAAATATCGATTTCACCACCAGCACCTTCCCTTCTTTGAGTGACTCTATGTGACTATGTATGCAATCTCAGATGTTAATGGGACACATGTCTCGAAATTGATCGCTTGCAAAAAGGAATTATCTATATTTTTAATTAAATTCATTTTATTATTATTATTATTATTATTATTCCAATTATCCATAGCAAAAAAAAAAATTTTTCTCTTACATTTATTTTATGTGAAAAAATAGTAGGAACAATACACAAAGTGCAAAAAGTAGGAGGAGAAAGCAAAAAAGGCGGGATTAAAAAAAAGGGCGGAGTAAAAGTAGGAGGAGCCAAAAGTAAATCGCAAAAAGTAGGAACCAAAATAGTAGGATTAATACAAGTGGAGAAAAAGTAGGAGGAGCAAACAAAAATAAGGAGGGATTAAAAAGGGGGCGTGATAAAAGTAGAAGAAGCTCCGCCTATAATTATTTAGCCCTGCCCTTACGTACCGCCCATAGATATCCCCGCCTTTGAAAGAAAATCTGTCACTATGAAACTCCGCCTTTATTAGATGAAACACGGAGCTAATAAGCCACGCCTTGATTAATAAACCCCGCCCTTATGTACCGCCCTTAGACATACCCACCTTTGGAAGCAAATCCATTACTAATAAGTACCGCCTTTATTTCATCAAAGGCGGAGTTATTAAACCACGCCTCCCTGCATATAATTATTAAGTTTACCAAAAAGGAAGGAGCCAAAATAGTAGGGTTAATACAGGAAAAGTGAAAGTGGCAGGAGCCAACAAAAAGGAGGGATTAAAAGAGGGTGTGATGTAAGTAGGTGGAACAAAAAGTAAGTTGTATAAAAAGGGCGGTGCAAAAATAGTAGGATTAAAATAAAAAAGTAGCAGGAGGAAATAAAATGAGCGATTAAAAGGGGCGTGGTGTAAGTAGGAGTAAAAATTAAGCTGTATAAAAAGGACAAAAGGGGGAGGAGTAATAGAAGGATGAGGAAAAGAAAGGGGGTTTAAATAGGCGGCACAAAAGAAGGAGGAGCAAAAGGGGTGGATCAGAAGTAGGAGGTGCAAAAAAGTAGGAGGAGTAAAAAGAGAAGGGTTTAAAGTAGGAGGAGCAAAATAAGGAGAAGTAAAAGGGGCGTGATTAAATTAGGAGGAGCAAAAGTGGGAGTGATCTAATATAAAGTAAAGTGGGAGGAGCAAAAGGGGGTGGAGTGAAGGTAGAAAATTTAGAAAATATTAAAGACGGATTTAAAAGAGTAAAAGTGAATTACTCACAGATAAAAGAACATGAAGTACATGAACTGAAAGCGATTATTAAAAATATATTTTACTACCATTATAAATTTTAATTTACTGCGTATAAAAACAAATAATGTGAGAATAAATATAAAAAACAATAATATGTCTTTTACTTTAAAGAGATATTTGAGTTGACCTTTTTTTTATTATTACTCATGTATCATACGTATATGTGTGTGTTTGGGGTGAAATCTAGATTGTATTTTAATTTTCCTTAAGTGTGATTTACGATTGCAGACGCCATTTCGTTAGGACCGCACCTTTTCTATATATCACGAAAGGGTACTCTCTCTCTTTCTCTTTGCGGTTTCAAGTCGCGTGTACACGGGACATTACGCACTTGGCTGGAATGTACATAGAGATACCGCGATATGGAGCGGAAGAGAACACTAATCACCTGAATAAATAGGACACATAAAGGAGGGTGTATAGATCAACCACTGCTCATGTCTCAGTTAATAAGAATTAAAAATTTTTAAAAATCATTTATTTTAATAAATTTAATAAAGAATGTAAAAAAAATATGTTTTTTCTAATAGAGTCGAATAATTTTCTTAAGATCATCATCATCATCATCTCGGGTAAAGTTTAAACTGGTAAAAGGAGGCACTTTGCTATTTCAGTAACACACTCTCTCTCTCTTTCTCTCTCCGGGAGCTTGTGAGTAAAATCGATAAACAGAAAGCGAGCGCCTAGTTCTCGTATGGACTATAGTAGTGTGATCGTGGCTTTCAAACACTTGTGTTTAGATTAAAGCTGTGTTTGCATTTGTGGAACACACTCGACTGATTGAATAGAGACAGAGAGAGTATTCGTGACTTGGGACATGTAAAGGCCACCATCAGGTAAGGCATATACACTGAGATTTGACAAGAATCTACACATTGGTCCATTGTGTCAAAAATTACCAAGGAAAATTTTTCAGGAATTTATTTTTTTTAAAAAAAAAAGGAGGATCAAAATGAGCGGGGTAAAAGTAGGAGGAGCATAAAAAGAGGAGGAAAATGGGCGGAGTAAAAGTAGGAGGGGCATAAAAAGAGGAGGAGCAAAATGGGCGGGGTAAAAGTAGGAGTATTAAAGTAGGCGGAGTAATAGTAGGAGAAGCATAATAAAGGGAGGAGCAAAATGAGCAGGGTAAAAGTAGGATGATCAAAGTAGGCGGGGTAATAGTACGAGGAGTAATTAGGGGAGGAGCAAAAATAGGCGGGATAGAAGTAGGAGGAGGAAAATAGGCGGCGTAAAATTAGGAGGAACATAAAAAGGGGAGGAGTAAAAGTAGGAAGAGCATAAAAAGGGGAGGAGAAAAATGGGCGGGGTAAAAGTAGGAGGAGTAAAGTAGAAAGAGTAGAAGTAGGAGGAGAAAAATGGGAAAGGCAATAGTAGGTGGAGCAAATATGGGACAATATGAACGGTGTAAAAGTAGGAGGAGCAAAATAGACTGGCTAAAATAAGGAGGAGCAATTACGGGAGGACTTGAATATGGGTGGGATAAATTTTTTTTCATAATTCAAAAAAAATAAAGAATTCAATACTGATGAAAAAAAAAATTGATAAAAAAGTTAGTTTTTGGTGGTTCTCAGTGAGGAAAATAAGAAAATGAAAAAATAATTTTACGTAACCATAAGAGGAAAAGGGAATTGCCTATAGGAAAA